GATATAAATATTTTGAAGATAAATCCTTAGCTTAAGCAGAGGAAGACAAAAGGGAAGCATTCAGTGATTTCCTACAACCCTTTGCTGGCCCACATCATATCTGAAGGTGTGACTAGATAAAGTTAAATGTTTCCATCCATTGTTTTAATATGGTAACTAACTATTGAAATAATTTCCCAATGGCCCACTCTTCCTTCAGGGCATGTTCTGTTCTAACTGTTAGCTAGCTGGGTCCCACAGTAGGTCTGGGACAAACAGAAGAGTTTTGCCTGTTTTGTTTGTTCTTCCCTCCTTAAAAGAAGAGAGGATTGGACAGTCTCTCAGTTACTTGTAGCATGTTTTACTTAACTAATTAATGAGGGAACTGAAAGGGAAGATGTAAAGAACTTCCTCACGTTCTTGCAGTGTGTGTGTGTGTGATATTAGCAAAAGAAAAAATGCTACATTTGATACAAATTTGATTAGCCGTCTACAAGGCAATAAAACTATCATTCCTCTCTCATAGTTTCACCAGGTTACAAAAACTTGATGAAAAACATAAACCCTATTAATGTCTACAAATTAACCCCAGTTTTGCAGGACTGCACTTCATTGTGCTTTATCAGTTGTGACTTGTTGGTCAAATATCCTATGACAATAAGGTCCTATTTCCAAGAATATCAGATGAGTGTTGAGCAGGTTGATTGGAAATTTCTCTGTCACCTGGCTACTCAAAAAGGGATATGTGAACTGGCAGCACTGGTGTCATTGGGAAGCTTAAAAGGAAGGCAGAGTCTCAGGCTCCACCCTACATCTTTAAAATCAGAGCCTGTGCTGTGGACTGAATGTTTGTGCCCCCCAGAATCTGTATGTTGAAGACCTCATGCCTAATGTGATGCCATTAGGAGATGGGGCCTTTAGAAGGTGATTAGGTCATGGGGGCTCATGAACCGAATTCGTGGCCTTACAAAAGTGGCCCAAGAAAGTTCCCTTGTCACTCCTGCTGAGTAAGATTACAGTGAGAGCAGGGCTGTCAGTGAGGAAGGAGGCCCTCACCAGACACCGAAAATGCTGACACCATGATCTTGGACTTCCCAGCCTCCAGAACTGTGAGAAATAAATGTTCGGTGTTTATAAGCTACCAAGTTTATGGTATTTTTTGTTATAGCAGCTTGAATGGGCTGAAACAACCTGCATTTTAAGAAGACATCCATGTGCACATTAAAGTTTAACAAGCACTGCTCTATAATGATATTTTAAAAAGCCAGGCAGTTATAATTTTTACCCTTTCCAGGTTTGAAATACACATTTCTTCCACAATACTTTTTTTAAACATTTTTTATTGATTTATAATCATTTCACAATGTTGTGTCAAATTCCAGTGTTCAGTACAATTTTTCATACATGGACATATGCACACTCATTGTCACATTTTTTTCTCTGTGAGCTACCATGACATTTTGTGTATATTTCCCTGTGCTATACAGTGTAATCTTGTTTATCTATTCTACAATTTTGAAATCCCAGTCTATCCCTTCCCACCCTCCGCGCCCCTGGCAACCACAAGTCTGTATTCTCTGTCTGTGAGTCTATTTCTGTCCTGTATTTACGCTTTGTTTTTTGTTTGTTTGTTTCTTTGTTTTTTAGATTCCACATATGAGTGATCTCGTGTGGTATTTTTGCCACAGGCCACACTAGGTCAGCGGTAAGCCGAGGTCTCACCCCTCAGAGTGGCTTCTTGATTCTAGTCACTGGGTCCAGAACGACTACGTCCTTCCAGCCAGCTCCTGGCAGATTGTTCCCCTCAGGGCAGCAGTCAGCTTCTCCTGCTTCTGGGCAAGGCTTTGGGGTTAGCACTTCTGTAGGAGGTCAGCAGGGCGCTCAGTTTGGGGCCTGGTTCTGCCCCGGTATATGCGGGTGCTTTACGTGTATTGTCAGGTTAAGCCTCACAAGACTCAAACAAGGAGGCATCACCACCCCCAGTTCTCAAAGGATACTTGCCCAAGACCACATGATTAGAAAGCACACCGGTGGGAATGGAAATCAGGCATAATTCCAAACCCCTTCCTTCCATGCTACCTCCTGTGGTTTTCTTATCTAATTCAACTAGACCAGTTCCAAACATCCTTCTACCTCTGAAGTCTTTGGATTCATTGATACATTGAATGCTTGTGAACATCACTGCTAATTCATAGGAATCCTTTAATAATTATTAATAATCAACATCATTTGATACCATTAACTAAGCTCCAATAATAACTAAACCCTTCAGAACTCCTCTACACTCTTTGAGTACCCAGCTCACAGTTCAAACATCATTTATCACAGTTTTTTGAAAGTAGCTGTTTACTTATCTGTTTCTCCCACTTGGAACCTCCTTCTGGAGAAGAGAGGATGGGCTGCTCTGTCTTATGTCTACACCTCCAGAAGCTGGTGTCGATTTTTACATACATTTAGTGCTCAGTATTTTTTTTTTACATTTTTTTATTGAGTTATAGTCATTTTACAATGTTGTGTCAAATTCCAGGGTAGAGCACAACTTTTCAGTTATACATGAATGTATGTATATTCACTGTCACATTTTTTTTTCGCTGTGAGCTACCACAAGATCTTGTATCTATTTCCCTGCGCTATACGGTATAATCAATATTTATTGCAGTACACTAAACTAGTAGGCGTAAAACTGGACTAGGAAACCTTCCAATTGTAGGACTCAAGGGTTTGAGTCAGTATCTAAGTCGATCATTTTATTTATATCCATATATTTCTATTCATAAAATAAAGCCACTGTTCCTCTGTACAGTGGAGGATTTGTTTCACATATCAGTTCTATCAAAGAGTCAGGGGTCTTCTGCTCTACATTTCCTCTGCTCAGTGGAACAATAAGTTTGAAGAAAAGAGGCATAAATGGTTAAGAGAAATAAATGACAATATGACAACCACTGGCCTAGTTACAAATGATAAATAGTTTTGAAAAAGGAATGTGTCAGTTTTCCATAAGGTTGATCAAGGTCTTGAGTTCTCAGCTGGGGCCCATTTTGTCCCCTGGGGGACATTTGGCGATGTCAGGAGATATTTGTGGTTGTCATAACCAATGGAGAGGCTGTTACTGGCGTCTAGCAGGGAGAGGCCGGCGGGGTGTTAAACATCCTGCACCGTGCAGAACAGCCCCCACGACAAAGCATTAGCCAGCCCCAGGTGTCAGTAGAGCCGAGGTTGAGAATCCCGGCTTAGGCAGACCCTGCAATAGTGCTGGGCCTTTCGTGATTCTTGTTGGCTGACTGCTTGGCTCAGCACATGACCTCTGACAACCTAGGATTCTCCATGGTTGAACAAAGAGTGTTATTGTCTAATGGTGACCCGAGGCACCACATGCCCCAGAACTGCTCTCTGCATCAGCAGCAGTGTGACCGCCTCAAGGGCCTCCCCTTCCTCTCCGAGCCAACCAGGGCACCTACCACGCAAACAGGTCACCAAATGTGTCATTTCTCTGTTTATCTGCCCATCACCCATAATTAGACCATATATTCCCTGCTGGCAGAGAACATGTTTTTTTCATTGCACCGTGTTGGCCGCCATTTCCCCTAATTCCACCTTAAAATCCTTTGGCACTCAGAGCATGATAATGATGCTTTATTTTTGGAATTCAATGGTTAAACAGTTTTTTTTCATCTGTAAATAGCCTCGTGGTAAACTGCAACTAGCCAGAATGTGAAGTGACCAGAAGCATCCATTTTTCCACTGTTCTGGATAAATTAGGATTCATGGTACTTGGCCCTCAGATTTGTGTTCCTGGGATCAGGGTTTGTGTAAGCCTTAAGTGTTTCTGGTTAGAGATAGAGAATTCCTTTAAGATTTGTTTTCTTCCTTGATTCTCTGATTTAAGAGGATGTTGTCTTTATCTGGGAAATAAAATGGAGCCTCCACTCACACAAGAAAAATATAAACAAACAAACAAAAAGCTGCCCTAACTAGGTAGATATTTGTCTTTGGCAAGGCATGATGGGAGATTGATATTTAAAGGTAAGTGACAGGAGGGTCAGCCCTATGTAAGCTTGGGACATAGGTAGGAGGTGTGTTTGGCATCCCTCTGCTTGCTTCCTGGGACATCTTCCCACCCCCAGGAACACCCCGCTTCGGCCCAGCCTCCCCAGAAGTCACTGGTGCCTGCTGCCCAGAGAAGCGTCTGAGGAGCACCTACTGCCTTGGCGCTGAGTCCTGCAACGTCTTGCCCGTACTAGGAGGGCTTGCATTTTAAGACAGGAACCCACAAAGAATGAATATCAGACATATGATTCATCAGGGCAGGATCAGTTTCGAGGAGCTCTTCTTCAGTGTCCCTCGAGCCACACTGTCGTTAAGCACAAGCAGATAAAGCAAGCTCAGGAAGACTGCAGGTCCAGGGTCCTGTGAGAGGATAACAAGGTTGTTAGCAATCCATATTTAAACTTTTGTTTTCATTTGTTCTGTGCCTGTCAACTGGGAACGAGTACCTTTAGCTTTTCATAAAGGAAAGAAGACAGATTCCAAGATCTCTGCAAACTTGTGTCACCCTAAGAAGCTTATTAATCAATAAATGATAAGACAATAATTATATTTTATTGCAGTCAGAAATTGGTTTTCTTTGGGGACTCTATAAGGCCAGGAATTTTGGTCCTTAAGCAGTGTAGAGAGTGTCGTTTAGAACTTCAGACGGCGGCAGTATTAACTAAGCACTTACTATGTGGCTGGCACTATTCCACTTTCCAATTGTGACCCTACCAGTAGGTTACTCTTTTATTATCATCCCCCTATTATGAGTGAGCAAGTCCAAGGTCACTGCAAGTACATGCTGGACCTGGGCCTTGAACCCCCGCTTCCTGGCCCAGGTGTCGTAGCCTCTCCCTCTGTTGCTTCTCCAGTCATAAGCAGGCTGCCTCTGCCGGCCTTAGAGAGCTTTCCCACTGAAGGGGGGGGCCCTCGCACGATGGCAAGAGAAAATGGTTCTAATTATGCTAATCCCGCTCTTTCTTGCTTTCCAGGTTTGGGAGGTGCCCTGGGTTACGTCTTGGGTGCTATCGACTGGGCCCACCTGGAACTGGGAAGAGTGCTGGGCACAGAATTCCAGGTCATGTTCCTCTTCTCGTCTTTGGTGCTCTCTTTGTGTTTTATCATCCATCTGTGCAGTATCCCTGAAGTCTCGCTTAAAGACATTCCCGCACAGCAAGCCCCCTGCGACCTTGCGGTGTCATCCAACAGAACGTACCAGTATGGGTCTATTGAGAAAGTGAAAAATGGTTATGTAAACCCAGAGCTGGTGCTGCAAGGAGGAAAACCCAAAAATCCTGATGAACAGGTAAATTCTTTTCTCTTTACTGAGGAAAAAAGATTCTTGTTCTTGCCTTTATTCATGTTTAAAAAAATTATTCTTTGTCTTTGTTTTGTTTCCTTATTTGGTGTGAAGAGTTTTGTTAAGTTTAACTGAATCCTAAAATCTCCAGGAGCTATTATCCCTTGGAATGAAAACTTTGCACCTAATAGAAAAATGCGTGCATTTTCCTCCAGTCCTCTTGTCCCTGACTCTTTTCAGAACATCAAACCAGGGAAGCTGAAGCCAGTTGCAAAATGTTAGGCCAGGAAAGAAACCTGGAATCATCCTCAGGCCACAAGAAATAATTTCACCTCTTTGATTAGGATTATAAAGTTGTTCTTCCAAATGACAGCGTCCCTGGGTTGGAAACTGGAAGAACTAAGAGGTTATCGGGATGAAGGCTTCATTTTCTCTTGATCACACAGCAAATAGAGAAAATGTGAGAATCTAGATCTGCAGAGACCTGATTAGCCCTTCCCTGCTCTGGGCTGCCTGGGGGGAGAACACCCACACTCCCCACTGATCTTAGCTGGGATGGAGCCCCTGTGCTGTGCAGTTCTGCAAGACAGCACAGGAATCATGGGAGAGCCTACAGTGGAACCCACTCGATCATTAAAAGATGTGTATGTTTTTGAAGATTTCTTTGAGATATAATAATTACGCAAAATACACATTCATATGAAGAATGATCTCCATTGTGGGAAAAACTACACACATACAGAGAAAAAATAGAGAGGATGCATATATATCCCAAAGTGTTCATTGAAGTTACTGTCCCTGGGCGGATGGGCTGACAGGCGGTTTTCATTTTCTTTTCTAAACCCTTCACTGTTTTCAACATTTCTATAATAGAAAAGTATTACTTTGAAAATGAAGAAAAAAAAAGTTGTGGTTTAAGGAACAAAAGAAGGCAGGGTTTTACTAAAGATAAGTAGGTATTATCGATTATCCCTGCCTCTTTGCCCCGTTGATGGATATGACTCACCCTCAAACTGTCATCCAGCAGCGGCTGTCTCACTTTACCCCGAGGCTGTTGTGAAGATCAGATGAAATCTAGTGGGTGGAAGTCTTTTGAAAGGCGTAAAAGCCTCCATGCTATTAAGAAAAGAAATGCATCAGATACAATGAACTTGTATTAATACGTGCCATGTGGACAACACTGTAGGCTCCGAATGGTTCTGTTATGTGGTTTAAAAAACAAAAGGAACATAACATAAGAAAGAAAAGAGTAATTCTTAGGCTCAGAGCCAAGCATCTGACTCTCCTCTTCCAAATGTGCATCTTGGGAGCTTCCAGCTGAGCAGTGGGAGTCTCCACTGTGTCAGGGCCAGGGCCCTGGACTTCATTGTTGGTTGAAGTCCATACTTTCCAAAGTGAGGGTGGCTGTGCAGTTTGAGCACTGTGATTTATTTTTTTTAATGGCAAAAGGCCTGAATTATTTCAGAGTTCAAACCAGATCCCATAAAATCTGTCTCCAGGTCCTCCATGCCGTCAGTTGCTCCCTTCAATATTTAGTCTCCTGAGGGCAGTTTTGTACAGTTCTCTCTTCCCCAGGTGGCTCTGTGACTTTTTCACTTATAAATCCATCTCTACCCAATCTCTAGTTGACAAAGTTACACAATGCATACAGTACAACTCTCAAGGGCTCAGAATCATTGCAAGGACTTCACCAAGGGGATTGAAGAGTCAGTGAATAATGTGCCAGCTGCATTTTCATTCTGAGTTAAAATATCCAAAAGGGCTTTGAACAGTTGCATCCTCAGCTTTTACAGAAAGACTGGGTACAATTTGGAAGTCCGTATTTATTTTTGGAAGAAAGAAAAAAATAGGTTAACAATGAGAGCAGGCTGAAAATTACGTATAAGACAGAAGCACAAATTAGTATTTGGAATGAGGCTGAATACTTGCTGGTCAGATTCACTTTTTAAAATTTTGAATTTTTGGAAAGAAAAGAAAGAAAGTGACGATAAACTGCTTACTCTGAGACATGAAAATCAGGCTGTTTCTCAGTCTATACCTTTAACTGCTTCATCCTGTGGTCAAGGAAAAAAGTAATAATTCTGCTTTGAATTTCTGTTATGGTCACCATTTGTTTTGCTAAGTACCATATTCTATATGTAGAAAATAGTTATTTTTACTAACTCCAAGAGAATGTCTATATTTTTGAATACTGACTAAGTATTAAAAAATCAATTGAGTCGTGGTTAAATACTACCAAATTTATGAATTAAAAAAATCAGCTTGTATAACAAACTTACAAGGGGTAAATATGATTTTCTGCATCAAAGAAGTAAAGAGCACTATCACATATGGTTAAGAGTCATAAAACAATATGCTGCTGTAGTTAAACTAGAAAATTTCAGGAGGCTGTCTTATAAATAAACTAGCCAGGACCCAATTTCATTATGTCAAGATTCAGAATAAATAAAGATCTGACAAGAAAGACCTATTACCCTACCATGCTTGATGCTTATCGTCTCAGTGTCTTCAGGGCAACTGAGTGCTTAATATTCCCAAGGTTCTTGCTTGTCTTACATGACCAGATGTTAAAGGCCGTTCCATTTTTTTGCATTTCAAAACTGTTGTGTCAATAGTTCAAAATTTTTCATTCTCTTGATGCTCCTGATACCAATAAATTAGAGCCTCTGCTTTTTACCATAATTTAAGTCTAGATTTAAACAATTGGGGGCATATGTACTGGGGGATGTGTGTGTGTATGTGTGTTTGTTTATGTTCTACAGTGTTTTCACTTCTGACTCAACGTAGGGCTCATTTACTTGTGTTGGCTCATGGCAGGATCTAGAGAAATAAACTGAGAGAAGGTACCTGGCCAAGAACAGGGAGCTGATTGGCTCTATACAGTAGATTTCTATTGCTTCATAATGAACTACCATGAATTTAGCAGCTTAAAACCACACACATTTATTATCTCATATTTCTGTAGGTCACAAGTCTGGGTTCTCTGCTCAGGGTGCCACAAGGCTGAAATCAAGGTGTTGGTGGAACTTTCTCATCTAGAGGCTCAAATGGAGAGAAATCAGCTTTGAACTCATGCAGGTGGAATGGTGGTTGCTCTTTGTGGTTGTAGGACTGAGGTCCTTGTTTTCTTGCTGATGACCAGGGGTCCTTCTATCTCCTAGAAGCTGTACTCGGGTCCTTTCCATGTGGCCCCCTCCACATTCAAAGCCAGAAATTCTTGTGCTTTGAGACTCTCTGACATCCCCTTCTGCTCCCAGCTGGAGAAAACGCCATCTTTTTAAAGGGCCCATGTGAGTTGGTTCAGGTCCCCCAGATGATTTCCCTTTTCATTAATTCAAAGTCAACTGATTAGTAAACTTAGTTATATCTGAAAAATCCTTTTGCAGTGTAGCAGCAGAATCATGAGGCTGGAGATCAAAGACGCCATCTTGTTCTAAGAGTCAAGAAATCACAGAATTATAATCATTTAAGGGCTGGCTTAGATCTTTGAGCTTGGTCCTCATGCAGTGGTTCTGTCATTCAAAGATAGGAAGCTAGATGTCTCTTACATCATGGCTCAAAGCAAGCTCCATTTCCAGTCCCTTCACCCTTGTGTCCCTGAAGCCCCACTCTGAGCCAGAAACTGCTAAGTATCCACACATGTTTAACAGGTCCCATACCTCCTATGAGACTGCTTCATGCTAACCTTAGTGCCCAGAAACTGTACTTTTGTGTGATGGTCGACTGACAGATGTGTAATATGGCTGTGTGCTGGCTCCCACAGTGGACTGTGTGTCTACACTGAATGTCACACCTGTTTGATGTTTTATTCCAGATTCCAAGGACCATGACCATGAAGTCATTGCTAAGGGCGCTGATAAGCATGCCTCCCCACTACTGCTGCCTTTTCATCAGCCACCTCATTGGATGGACCGCTTTCCTGTCCAACATGCTCTTCTTCACAGACTTCATGGGCCAGGTAACGGACACGTCTGCACACACTCACTGACTCACACAGCAATCCCTCAGTCGGCACCTGTGGAACTTCCGGGCTGGCCTCTGGGAAGGGCACAGTAAGAGTGTAGGAAAGAGTACTTTCAAGGAGGCGGCTTACAGACAGGTTCCAGAGGGAAGTTAACTACACCCTACACACCTAGAGGACACCGTGGGGCCGGTATTTGATCAAATACAACAAATAGGGAAAAATCAGCTTGAACTGTAGTAGCCACAGCAGGCTTAATAAAGAAGGTGCAGTGCAATTCAGACCTTAAAGGGTGAGTAGGAGCTGAAGAGAAAGGAGAGGGGGAGAAAACACTGGCATGTGTGGAGGTGAGTCAGAAGCCTGTTGACTGTACCAGAATATGGGTGACAGGATTGCCTAAGTTGGGTGGGGCCAGATGTTAGGTAAAAGGAGGGGTGTTAAAAATCCAGGGAGATGCTGTGTAAACTTGATGTAGTAGGTATTAAGACCTCCTGAGGGTCCTTGAATGGAGGTGTGAAAGGATGAAATGGGTGACATGGTCATGAGGGAATAAGGGCTGTGCCCTAGGAAAGGGTGGAGAAGTAGAGTATGTGAGAAGGGGTCCCTACCACCCTGCACTTGTAGCTCAATGGCCCCAAATCTCTCTTTCAGATCGTGTACCATGGGGATCCCTATGGGGCACACAATTCCACAGAGTTTCTCATCTACCAAAGAGGTGTCGAGGTTGGATGTTGGGGCTTGTGCATCAACGCTGTGTTTTCCTCACTTTATTCTTGTAAGTAAGCCTCCTCCTCCTAAGGGTGTCCTCTAAAGGGCTCTGGTCTAGCAGAATCTTGGATTTCATGTATCTATATTTCTATATTTTTTGCTGTTTAAAATACCAGATTCTTGATAAACATATGGAGATTAGGAAAAGCTATTCCCCTAGAATTGACCCATTAAGTATCCTGTTCCATGGTGAATTCTGGATATAATTTTTCTCCATGATTGCTTTGTACTTGGAATCACTGTGTTACCCAACTCAGGTTAAGTTCCTCACCGCTCAGAAGCCAATACTTGAGAGGCAAGTGTTGGTAAAAAGGACAGTTGCTTTAATCAGAAAAGCCAGCAGTCTGGGGAGAAGACGGACTCATGTCTCCAAAACCCAGCACTGAAGATTCTGCTCAGCCATAAGAGTTTTTAAAGGGAAAATGGGGAGCAATTTCAGTTTATCATTGAGATAGGGGATCCATCTTGTCACTGTCTCCCACTGTGTGCAGTCCGGTCAACTCCTTGTCGCGATCTTTCTTCAGATGCTGTTTTGTTCACCCAGTTTGTTCATGAGATTACTGAAAGGGAAGCTGGGGAAGAGATTTGGTCACCTGTTAATTACTTATTCTTTGTTTCTAGTTCTTTGATCTAAGGAAAGAACCAACAGGCTAGGCAAGGTATTGTGTGATCAAAAGATTTGAAAAGTGTGCTTGAGCTGGAGTTGAGTAGAGTGGAGGCAGAGGCAGAGGGCGTGGTTTAAAAGTTAGTTACAGCTTACCTATTGGCCATTTGTACGTCTTCATTGAAGAAACGTTTGTTTAGGTTTTCTGCCTATTTTTTGATTGGTTTTTTAAAATTTTTTTGTTATTGAGTTGTATGAACTGTTAGCATATTCTGGAAATTAAACCCTGTCAGTCCCATCATTTGCAAATATTTTCTCCTACTCCATAGGTAGTCTTTTCATTTTGTTTATAGTTCCCTTTGCTGTGCAAAAGTTTATAAGTTTAATCAGGTCCCATTTGTTTATTTTTGCTTGTATTTCTATTGCCTTAGTAGACTGCCCTAGGAGAACATTGCTAAGATTTATGTTGGAGAATGTTTTGCTAACTGTTAGAGAAATGTGAACCAAAACTGCAATGAGATGTGACCTCACACCAGTCAGAATGGCCATCAGTCAAGAGTCTACAAATAATAAATGCTGGAGAGGGTGTGGAGAAAAAGGAACCCTTTTACACTGTTGGTGGGAATGTAGTTTGGTGCAGCCACTATGGAAAGCAGTATGGAGATTCCTTAAAAGACTAAAAATAGACTTACCATATGATCCAGCAATCCCATTCCTGGGCATATATTGGAGGAAACTCTAATTTGAAAAGATACATGCACCCCAATGTTTATAGCAGCATCCTTTACAATAGCCAAGACATGGAAGCAACTTAAATGTCCATTGACAGGTGATGGGATAAAGTTGTGGTATATTTACACAATGGAATACAACTGAGTCATAAAAAAGAATAGAATGATGCCATCTGCAGCAACATGAATGGAACTGGAGATTGTCATTAGCCAAAAAGAGAAAGAGAAATACTGTATAAGATCATTTTTATGTGGAATCTAAAAAGAAATGAGACAAGTAAACTTATTTGCAAAATAGAAACAGACTCACAAACATAGAAAACAAACTTGTGGTTACCAGGGAGGAGGGGGAGTGGAGGGATAAATTGAGAGTTTGGGATTTTCAGATACTAACAACTATATAAAATAAATAAACAGCAATGTCCCACTGTATAGCACAGGAAACTTTATCCATACCTTGTCATAGCCTTTAATGAAAAAGAATATGAAAAGGAATATATGTATGTATAACTGAATCACTATGCTATACACCAGAGATTAACACAACACTGTAAACTGACTATAGTTCAATAAAAAATTTTTTAAGTTAGTTGCAATGTTGCTTTGCTAAAGTGACAAGAAAAAGGGGCTTCTTGCAGAGACCTCTTTCCTGCAAAAACTGCCAAAAACTGCTTACAAGTGGGCTCCTGATCAAGACTCTTTGGGAGGTAGAAGGGAATCTCATATATAAATTGGTGAGGTATTGGACGGGTAAGGAATAGAGTCTTAATGGAGACCATGACTGTGATTAACAGTGGGTCTTTGTTCTGCTGGATTAAGATCACTGGTGGAGTTTCATAAATGTACTTAGCAGTCTTGAAAATGACACAAAATTGGAGGATGGTTAATATGCAAGATGACAGAATTAACATGTAAAATTGAAGGGATGATTAGAATGCTAGGTGACAAGGTTAACGTGTAAAATGACCTTAACTCAGATGGGCAGGGTGATATGTTACAGGAGCACGGTTCCAGATTGAGGACAACGGCTTTCCTTCTCAGGTGCCAGCTTTCCACCGGATCTGCAGCCTATTAACCACCCCTTAGCTAAGCTGCAGCTGTGAGGACACTGTAAACAAGAGGATTTCTGGGACTGGTTTTCAATAAGTCCAAGTGGATGTACTCCAACTCTCGGGCATAGCACAGGCTCATTTTGTGCTTGCTAATTTGTATGGAAATCTCCAAGTGCTCCATGCATTGAATTAAGTGAGAACTCTGGCTGATAGTGTGTGCAATTCCCCCATTTGGAGTGGAAATCTGGGAGTTCCCCGGCATTCGGGGGAGAATAGCTGGCCCCCAGGGCAGAGCTCTAGGCTTTGGATAGGCCCAGGAGACGGCAGGGGTATGGCCCAGGTCAGGGAGGGGGAGGCGATGAGGGACAAATCCCCGTTGCCATTCTCAGGGGCATCATTCTGTCACTGAAGTGTGCTGCTTGTGGGAGAGGAGGGTGAATGTTTATAATGACCCCTAGCCTGGCATTCAGCCCTTTACCACATAGCCATACCACAGCGGGAAACCTGCTTTGAAATCAAGAAAGTCTCTTCAAAATATAGCACAGTTGAGCAAAGGGCACCTAATACAAACATATAAGGAATTTATGAGTGCAATAATCATAGAACCATAAAATTCATTATTTCTAAATTTATGGTAACCAAATAGTGGTGGCTTAAAGTATACCTTTCTTTAGCAAAACCCATTTTTTTCCCCTTAGAGTGTATGAATTAAGAAAATTCCAGGAGGAAGATTTCAAGTACCTAGAATCAGGGAGCATTAGACCAAAAGGATCTAATAAATTATCCATCTCCATCCCTCTGTGCTTTCAAAAGGTGAGGGGACTCTTTGTTCCTAATCTTATTCTTGTAAGAGGAATACATTTTTCAAAACATCATTAGCATTTTAATTTTGTGTCAAAATTAGCATTTTAACCTTTTTTTTTCCTCAGAGAATCCCTCCTAGGGACCCTCCATTAGTCTAGTTGGAGTTTCTGTGTGAAATTCATGGCATTTAAAAATTAAAAGCATGCTTTTTCTTTTAGGTCTTTTCTAGTTAAAAGCCCTGTGTACAAAATAAACTAATATTTGAATAGTTTTCCATAGTTACATCTAATGTGTAAGTACATGGGATCCCTATCATTGTGAGTTAGAAGTAAAATTTTACTTATAAAATACCAACCACTCTGCCTAAGGACCTTCAGGGGCTCTCATGTTCATAAGAGAGAGCCCCAATCTTGGCACTCCAGGGTTTGCAGTTTGGCCTGGCTCACACTTGGACCTCTGTCGCTCCCACACAGTAAATCCCCCAGTGACCCTCTGTGCAGATTTTCATCTCTGTTTTGCTTTTGATTTCTTCCACTTGAACTGCTTTTTCTACCTTCCCACCCTGACAACTACTAATCATGCTTTCAGACCCAGCTCCAGTGTGACCTCTTCTGTGCAATCTGTCAAGTCTTTCTGCCACATCCCAACCCACTCTGGGCAGAATCAATCATTTCCTTTAATTCCAGAGCACACCATATAATCCTCTATTTTGGATTATCACATAACATCGGGTCCAGGTCCAGAATTTCTGTCCAGACAGAGCTCGGCTGGGCAATCTGGCTGCTGGGGCCGGGGGTGGGGGACAGTGATAAGGGACTTGGTTTCAAGAGCCTTTGCACAGCAGCCATGCTCAGATCAATGAGAAGAGCAAGGCTGAGTACTGAAAGATAGCCAGTTGTCCATCTCTTGCACTACTATTCATAGCTGGCCTTTAATCAATCATTTCCCTCCAATCTTGATGAGAGACACAGTGTGAGTTGTTATCAGACCCAGTGAGTCAACTTGGTCCTTAAATTGATTGATTTATCTTCATGAATAAAGCATTCTTTGCTGGATTTTCAGTCTTTGTACTGAAGTTACCTATGTTTCCAAATATCTCTTTATTTTCCTTTGCCTTCTTCCTGATTGGCCTGTACGCTTGTGAGAACATTTCCCTAAGAAGTACCGATAATAGCTTTCAGGTACTGAGACAACTTAGATTACATTTTCCACATAAATATAATCATTAAGCAAACAGAAACTGACCTCGCTTTATGCTGCTTTTCCTTTCATCCTTGACAACAGTCCTCCAGTCATGGGATGAATTTAATAGAGGGAGCAATGTTGGCTCATTTAACATTTTCAGAACTCCATGGGATGCCCCAAGACACTGTCTGGTTTCAGAACTGATACAACTGTAATACAGATTAGGTTTCTTGTCTTTGCAGTGTAAATTAATAATTATTTGAATAGATATGGAAAATTACACTCTTGAATAGGCACATTTCTAGTATCTGTCATTTATTTATCCCCATGAGTTCATGTGTTCCGGTAGAATGAGCAGGGAAAGATAAGGAAAATACAGATTAAAAATAACCAATTAAAAAAGGGAGATAAAAGTACTTTTTAGGGACTTTCCCTACCATGGTGGAAAACATAATAAAATATTTTAAAGCAGAATTTTCCATTTTAAAAAATGAGCTCTAGTGTGATACCTTTATTAGCAAGTTAAGTTCACCTGCCGGGAGGGGACCCAAGGTACGAGTCAACCATGTTCAGCCAAGCCTGTATTTGCTGAAATAATGATAGGCACCATTAACTGGATGTCTTCTGTGTGCTTGTGCTGGGTGATTTCAGTTTATCTGACACAGTTTATCTCATTTGATCCTAATAACAACCACAAAGAAAGGTTTTATTAGTTCCACGTTTTCTGATGAGGAAGCTGGGGTTTAGGGAAGTTCCAGAAGTTGTCCATAGAGAATAAGGGCACCAGCAATGGGAGGCGCCCGTGAGGGGAGCCCCTTGTCAGCCTGGGAAGGGCTGGCAAGTCAGGTGATAGACATTCTTTACTTCTTTCTCATGTTGTGTAGACGGCATTCAGGTGGGGTGAAGATGCTGAACTACTTGGATCATTCTATAAAATCTGGTTATTCCCATTTTCCCCAACCTGACTTTGGGCTTCAGGGGCCAAGACAGACCTGGATTGTTATTTTGGTCCTGTTAGGCTAGATCCCTGTGTATCAGAAAGACCCCCACTTTTCTTCCATGCCTTGTAGCCCCAGGGTCCCATAACCAAGGTGGGCTTTTGTATCACCTCTTCTGCAACCTGTTGCTATCCAGCTGTCCACGACACAGTGCTTGGTCCTATCTTGCAGAATAGAAGTCAACCCACCAAGGCAATTTCCAGCTCTCTTTTATGCAAAGGATTCAGAGCTGATTCAAAAGCCAGCTGTTTTCAAGCACAGATAAGGGGCTTCTTTCGTTCATGACTCAGGATCAAAGGAAGGCTAAAAAAAGTGACTCTTCAGAAGGGAAGGTTGTCTGAAATGATGAAATGTTGTGAGGCACTGCCAGCTGTAATTTCTCCCTCTCTTCTCCCCGCAGACTTTCAGAAAGCTTTGGTTCCCCACATCGGATTAAAGGGTCTTTACTTCATGGGGTATTTGCTGTTTGGCCTGGGGACGGGATTTATCGGGCTCTTCCCGAATGTCTACTCCACCCTGGCCATGTGCACCTTGTTTGGCGTGATGTCTAGCACCCTGTACACCGTGCCCTTTAACCTCATTGCCATGTACCGCCGCGAGGAGCAGGAGGAGCAGGTGCGTTGTTGAGCCTCGGCTCTGAGTCACTTCTGGAGTCACCTGAAGGCTGGGGGAACTTGGTAGGAAGGTGTAGAGCAGAGGTGAAAAATAAGGGCTCTTGAAACAGCAGCACTAAAATGTCCAGCCAGGTGTAACAATGGTCTGGCCAAGGCATGACTGTCTTCCCAGCCCCAACCCCTCCCGGACCTTACTCTGAAGCCCTGTGCACCTGGGAGCAGTAGGGCAGGTACCGTGACTCCCATTGATCAGATTAGGAAGCGGTGGGCCGGTGGAGGGGCCGGGAAGGTGGTGCAGGGGGTTGGTAATGCCGAGAAACCAGCCCACAATCACACAGAGACCAAGCAAGGGGAACCCTGGGCTTATGACTGCAACATTTCTGGGTGCCACATCGAGGGCTCCTAGCCTGAACCACTGTAGGGGTGCATGGTGGAATTTCCAGGAGTTATTGGTGGAGGGTAGGAAATTTGTAAGCAACATTTTCCTTGGATGTCTAGGTATTAGTAAGTCAGACCCTGTGTGCAAGGAGGAAAGCCGGTCATAGGTGATCACCTCCACCAGTTGCTTGAAGGGAGGCCTCCCCATCTCCACCTCAGCACTTAAGCCAGAGGGCAAGACCCTACGTTGCCCTAAAAGAGCACTAGATTGGGTATTTCTGCTGTAAAGTTTTTTCTTATCAAAATATGCAATTTTTCCCCAGTAAAAGGGACTTTGCTTCTAAAGAGACAGCAGCATAAAGAACTGTCCCTCTAAGAGAGTTAGATGGTACTCGGCCCAAAATACATAGGCTTAGGACTCAGAGAAACTTGCATTCAAATCCTGCCTCCCCCGCATGGCAGCTTGGTGATACTGGGGATGCTATTCATTTGTGTATTAAATATCACTTAAAATGAGTTCATTTTTAGATGGACAATGCAGTCACGTGGTTCAGCACCCACAAAGATACACGAGTGTGTAGTAAGTGGCTCCCGCCACCCCTCCCTCCACGCTTTCCCTATCTGCCACCCTGGCTCCTACGTGTAACCATTTTAATCAGGGTTTTGTCTGTCTTTCCAGTATTTTTGAATGAAAATCCAGCAAATATGAATCTGTTTTATTATTCTCCCTTTCTTACTCAAAGGATAATATGCATTTTTTCCTGCACAATGACTTTTTTATTTAATAGTACAGGAATTATCACTCAGAGCCTTAGTTTTCTAATCCATCAAATGGGAATGATACACCCACCTTATAGAGTTGTTGGAAAATTAAATGAAACAAGAAAGTGTAGGTGATCTGGTTAGCATAATGCCTACCTGGCACCTGGCAGACTGCAAATATGGTAGGTGGTAGTGTTATTCTCATCATGGGGCTCATTATAATTATAATACATGCATCCAGGGAGGTGGTGAGGATGCGATGAAGTAACGTATGTGAAAGAGCCTTGCAGAAGGCCTAGCACACAGATGATACCCAACAAATGGCAATCTTATCAATCATTTCTGACCAAATATCAAATAGTGATCAGATATTAATCAACTAACCAAATATCAACCATATTTTGAAAGGTTGAATTTCATTTTTATGTTGTTTCTCCTACATATATCTGTGATTTAACATCTTTCTAAAAATGTTTGAAGTTTTGACACCAGGAAAGAAAAGGAATGGATTATTTATTGAGTTTCTACTACATTGCACATACTGACTTCTTAGGAAGAGATAATTTTGCATTCTTAACCATTTAACTCTCCTGTGTGTTAATGGTGGAGTGTCAGACTTTGTGGCAGGCAGGGAAGACAGGTTCAGGCAGGGCGTGGTGCTTAAATCAGGGGTTGACAAACTATGTCTTGTTGGCCAAGTGTGGCCTACGCCCTGCTTTTGTCCAGCCTGTTGTGAGCTAAGAAATCTTTTAAATTTTTTAAATGATTTTTAAAAAATCAGTAGAAGGATAATATCTGTGACAAGTGAAAGTTACATGAAATTCAAATACCAATGTCCACCAAATTATGTTGGAATGCCAGCTTGTTAATGCACTGCCACTGCTTTTGCACAACAGTGGCAGAGTCATGTAGTTGCAACCAAGACCACGCGACCCACAAGCTGAAAGTGTTTATTATCTGGCTTTGTACAGAAAAAGTTTGCTTGCTGACTTCTGCCCTGAAGGACAGTTGGTGTAGATCAAATGCTGTTCCTGTGCTTCCCTTGCAGAGGCAGCAGGCCCGGGGAGGGGACCTGGACAGCAGCGGGAGAGGGCAGGGCCTGGACTGCGCCTCCCTCACCTGCATGGTGCAGCTGGCTCAGATCCTGGTCGGAGGTGGCCTGGGCTTTCTGGTCAACATGGCCGGGAGCGTCGTCGTCGTGGTGATCACGGCCTCTGTGCTGGCACTGATCGGCAGTTGCTTTGTGGCTCTCTTTGTTAGACACATGGATTAGGTCAATAAAGAGACATCGTCCCTAATGTCAGACACAGTGGAGCACGCAGCAAGAAATCAATCTTTTCTTTAGCTCTGCTCGTCTTGTGTCTGCCCATTGGATGCCCCATGTTATGACTTGTAGCTGCAGTCGTCTGCCGACCCCTCACTCTCAGCCAGCCGTCTGCACAACCGTTTCCTTATTTTAGGCATCATTTGTTTTAAGGGAAACTGGGCTATGCCTCCATTCACCAGTGGCAAAGAACAAGTGTGGGTGACAGCACCTCCACGCGCCTTTCTCCCTGTGTCTCGGTGCAGCTGAATGGAGAGACAGGCTCTGTTTTCCACAGGGCATTTCAGGCCTTGACGAAACCCGAGAAGCAGACTAGCATGTACCTGTGATGCTAGGATTTATTCTAGGATGTGATTTTTTTTTTTAACCAGGGGCCCAAATATAGTCAGGTGGGAGGGGCATATTTTTCATCAGATTTGCCATTACTCAAAATATTGGCGATGATTTATTTTATGATGTTAATTTACTCACATTTAATTCATAGTTACTTGCTTGTAATTAATTCGTGTTAATTTATGATATCCCTGACATGTCTACAACATCTCATGCTGGAGGATTCACCACTTTCAAAGAGCTCATTTTATTGACACGGTGAAAATCTCTCTCTCTAGCCTGCACTTTGGTTCCATCCCCTGGAGTCTATATGAAAGGCTTTCGAAGAACTGCGTCCTGTGTCCCCTGTGATCTTCTCTTCTCCAGGTGCAGTAGCTTCTCTCAGGCATGATCATTACATAATTTGTCTGAAGCTGCACAGCCCTAAGTGGCAGAGCTGGGCTTTGAACCAGGCACTTGGGCTCTGCTGTTTCCTATGAGAGCAGCCCTGAGCCTGCAGGCGGGCAGCTGGTCTGTGCTAGGTAAGTGATAGCCATCATCACTATTTTTAAAGGCTCCCCATCCTGCTCCCCCAGGCCTAGAATTCCCCCCATCCACAGCACTTCAGAAGTGTTTGTCTATACAATTCCAGATGGGCCTGTGGGGCGCAGAATGATTTGCCCACATGTCTTTACAATTAAAAAGATGTATGTGGTTCCTCTTCCTGCTTCGTCTTAAGATTCTGGTGGTGTAGTCTAATGGCCTCGGATGAGTTTCTAACTTAGCATGAATTTCTAACTTCCATGCTGGAAGGGAATTTGGAGAAAGGAAATGAGGTGCTTGGAAGACAGGGCCATCGGGATTTGGACTGCTCTGTGGTTTACCTCGGGCGGAGTAGAATGGACCGCTCAGTAGCGCGGCAGGCCCTGCGGTGTCAGCTCATTTAGGGTAGCAGCTCTGAGAAGAGGAACTGTGCTCTTTGGGTGGGTCTTTGGGCCCTCTTTCACACACCTGCCGGGGGTATGAGGAGTGCAGACCCACTCCTGACATTTCCATTTGCAGGGCTCAGGGCAAGAACACTGATGGAGGTCCGTCGTCCTCCTCCCGCCCTTAGCTCTGTCCTGTACCGTGAGGGCCCTTGTGTGCACTTTGGCATCGGTACACCCATGGCCTTCCCAGCCCCTCCACTCTCTATCACACCTCTGAACAGCCGCCCTGAGTCACCCCTCACACCTAAAGGTACACAGACTCAGCGGTGTTGTCTACCTTCTGGAGGAAAGGACCAACTAAACCCTTATCAATAGGCTCAGGGCCATTTAGATGGAGGAATTCTGATGTCTCAGGTACTGGAGCATCATCCAGAAGGTGGGAGGTGGATTCCTTGCATGTGGGGATGGGCACAGCTGGGAGGGGAGGTCAGAGCAGGGCCCTCTAATAATCAAACCCAGGGCAGGGTTGGCTGCCTGGGTCTGAGGGCAGCGCTGAAGAGTGCCAGCCAGAGGGCAAGCCAGATCCACTGTCATTGTGGGGCAGCCCCCTCCCCAATTTCTCTAGTGGTCTCAAACTGGGTCTGTATTATCTCACATTCCCTCTCCTCTTGCTACTTTTGGGGGCTTCCAGGCTGCTGCTGCAGTTCTCTTGATCGCCTCCTTTTTTAAGAGTCTGATCTCTGCTGCCACTGCATCATCACCCCTGTGCCTGGGGCAGTGCTAGGGTGTGGGGTGGTACATCTGGAGCCCCTCAGAGATCTGGTCTCTTCTAGTTTGTGTGCAGTGGTGGGGCGGGAGGAGGGAGGGGCAGGGGCTTACACGGAAGTGGTCACTCCTTCCTGCTCACTGCTCATGCTTGCCACCTGCAGAACACACAGCTTCCTGATCAGACACCAGTCTCTCTGGGATCCTGCAGTTTATCCCATTTTTCTCCAGATTATTATTTTTTTTCCTGGACTGGGCTGGGCTGTCTTCTCAAACCTGAATGTGCTGTTGTTTCACTTAATCTCTGAGATGTTCTCCTCTCCCCACGGACACTTATTCTCTGCCCCTCAGTCAGGTCCCCCTGCTGTCTACTGCTATATTCACTCACAAAGGAAAGCATCTCATTCTCTTTCGGGAGGATCACATGCAAAACTACTCCATCTTCCCCAGCCTTCCTCCCTCCCTCTCCCGCTCACATCATCCATCCTAGAGCAGCAGGGTCGTGACTGTCTTAGGAACGACTGGGGAGAACACCTGCTCCCAACCCCACAGCGTAGGAGGAAGATGAGCAGGTGCCCCTAGGAGCCCACATGACACAGCACTTAGCTTCCTGAAAGAAACAGCACCAAGCTGCCTCTTTTGTTTCACCTCCCTGTCCTTGATCTCTGTAAGGTTTAGAAGTGGAATTATTTGCAGAGGGAGTTCCATGTATATTTCCTGATCATTTCTGCAAGGATAGCTCTGGTGATTGAAGATTTTGAAATGAATGATTGCGTGATCTGGGAGGGTGATCTGCAGCTGAGGGCCATCAACCCTAGACCCCCAGGAAGTCAAGAGTAGTCATCTCTGGCCAACCACAGTCTTTATTGCAAATGAAGCTAGTTTCAGATGGAACACTGGCTGGGCTATTGGATGAAGAAGAGAGCTAGAATACACACACATGCACACACACACACACATTCTCTCTCTCTCTCTCACACACACACAAATATTCAAATACTTTACTTTTTTAACTCAACCGCATTGAGGTTTGAATGAGTTGATAGAATCCAATTTTAAAAGCCTTTAGCCACCTTGGGAACTCAAACATTTGTCCTTAGTATACCAATGTCATATCCACTCTGGGACAAAAATGTTCCATTACCAGACCAATAGAGCAAGTGCAGGGACATCTACATTCTTTGTAGAAATCCTAGGATATCCTGTCGGAGAAAGGGAAGCCACACTGCTCTGCCTCCCACTTCCCCCGCAACGTACCTGGCATTCCAGCCTCAAAGCTTCTGATCACTGCATTTCCTCAGCTTCAGATGTCCTCTCTGCATCCCCACTTCCTGTCTCAATTGCCATACTTGCCCGTCTACATTGCACCCATATTTCTAGGTCCATCTCAAATACTGCTTTGACCAGGAAGCCTCTGATCCCCCAGCAGAATCAAGCTTTCCACCCCTGGATTCCCATAGATAGCACTTTCTCTTGGCCCTTTCTATGACATTCAACTCACTGTTCCATGACTCGTTTGCCTTGTACACATGGCAGTGTCCCCTTCTAAATGCTAGGAATGTGTACTCGATCCCAGCACTCAGCACAGGGCTTGGCACACGACAGGCATCCAAAAACTAAATCACTGATGTCAGCTGATTTGACCACTTCCTTGTTGATGCTTTTGTCCTTGTCGTAGACAAAAGTCATGGTCATTGCTCCCTCTAGCCACGTTCTCAGAAGCCCTCAGGTTTGAATGAGGACAGGGTGACCCTTTTCACAGAGATCTTTCATGAAGGCCTTGCCCCCCCTTCTGTTTTCCTAGTACCCATCATAGCAGAATCACACACTTCAACATACTTTCCTAAAAATCCTGGGCTACCTACGCATTATTTTATTGTCAAAACCAAAGTGACAAGTTGCCTTAATAAAGAGAATCTCAGTAAGAGTCTAACAGCAGTGTTACACATGGATACACTGCCATGCTACTTTTGTTCTTTGTTGTGTTCACTTGTTCATTTATTTGTATTTTGGAGACCTGAAGAGCTTACCATTCCATCTTTATTAGCCCATTGGTTTTCAATATCAGTATCATTAGGGTTTCTTCCTAAGGGGCAGTGAGAGACTAATATGATTACTTTAAAATAAACGCATTATTCTGTTTTCTAAAAAAAGCTAACTTCTCAAGATTGCTCAGGACTGGGGAGGTCAGGCAGCTTCTGTTTTTGTGGCAAGGTTCTGAGTGCTTCCTCATTGCACTGTGTTGTGTTACAGAAAGCAGGACAAGGGATGCTGGGGCTGCAGAGCTCACATTTTGAGCCTTAAATCTCAGATACTGCAGGGAATTTCCAACAAAATTACAAAATGATTTGTAGTTCAAGAGGCTATTTAAGCAGACATGTTTGTGTAATGATTATGGTCATTAAAATAAGCACACCAGTAGGTGCTCACATGGTGGGGGTTTTTAACCCCAAAACTAGGTTGCCAAGCAGAACAACAGTAGCACCTCTGTCAAAGTTGGCAGCTGGGTGGGTAGATTGATGTTTGATCCCCGATCTCTGAGCAGCCTCAGGAAAGAACTACACTGCTGTGACCAGAACAGAATTGTCATGAGAAATCTGTCACTCTTCAGGGATGGTCCCATAGACCATCCAGGGGTTAAGGAAGAATTCATCATGCAGGTCAACACACTGAGTACTCCTTAGAATAAATGAAACTTAGTTAAGGTAGTGTCCTATGGGAATTCTGATTCCCTGCCTTCTCTCCTTGGTGTTAGAAACAGTAAGGAACCTCACACCTGAAAGTCTGGCGGTCCCCTCAGAACAGGATCTCAGTCTTTTTCCTTCAGGACAGGTTGTACTTGTCTCATTCCCTTTCCCATCTCACTCCTCCTCTTGAAAGATCAGTCTCCAGCTTCCAGGAATTTGGTTTTCAGGAACCACAATTCTACAGCATCTCTTAATCTGCTCTCTCAGTTTACAAAAAAAAAAAAAAAAAAAAAAAAAGCGGCAGAGCCATCCCTCTACTCGCTGGTCCAGAGCCTCAATCAAACCGGTATTCTGATTCCCAAAGAATGAGGGGAGAAAAGTCCCCACTCTCAATAGCATGTCTACTCAGATCATTTCCAGTTGCTCCTGAGTACAGCTCACCTGCAGCGCGCAGACCCCAGCGCACGCACAGCGTCTCCCGGCACCCACACCGCTCTCCGGGGAACCCAGATGCCCAGGCTTCGAGCGCATGGTGCACTCACTTGCTGCAGGGTTACCTAGAGAGCGCGTGAACCCCCTTTCCCCTTTAGGGGCCGTTGCCTGAAGAGGTCGCTCTGTTAGGTCCCTCCAACTACACTGCGTCCGCTAGCTCCCGCGGTGACGCGAATAGCTGGAGTGTTTTGGCCACGGCGACCTGTGAGCGCAGAGGCAGTGCAAAGTCGCGGTCGGGCTTCGCGTGTGCCCACTCGCCCTGTCCGAAATGATAAACCTTTAGACGTCCCACGGGAGGTGGCTTTCTCCCAGTCTAGGATGTCACTCCTTTCTTCCAACTCCGAAAAAGTTTCTTGGCTCTCGGCGCAACCAAGCAGCAAGTTAGTCTCGGGGTCAAGGCTTAAAGGAAAGGTTTTGTGGGAGGCTTCCTCGGCTGGATGCACCTTGAGGACCCTTTCAAGAGCTGCATTAAAGTCGCAGCTCCATTGTCCGCCAATCGTTTGGCTGAGCCCCACTTCCTCGCGCCCGAATTGCTCTACATGCCTCTCTCCGCTTCTGGGCGTCCCCACACTGCTCAGCATTGACAGCACAAGGAGAGAAAGGGGGATGTGTGCACAGAAGGTGGACCGAGGCTGGTGGCTTGGCCCTGTGAGTCAGTCTGATCTCGGCCTCTTTGCCAGCTCGCTCGCGCGCTCTCTCTCTGTCTCTCTCTCTCTGCCTGTTTTCGCAGCCTCCCCTCTCTGGCAAAGGTCCCCCGGCCTCTTCACTGGTTGCTGCTCCTTGGTGCTTCTCCCTACCCTCGTCCCTCCGACCTCTGAATCCGGGTCCCCCTCCCCCCCCATCATCCCCTACCCCTTTTCCTTCCCCTTTCCCTCCCCGGGAGAAGGCCACTTTGCAGTTTCTGCCCACCCTTGGGCTTCAGCCTGCTTCAGTAGGCGGAGCTGCTGGGCAGCACGTCGTAGCGCCCCCCGCTGTAGACTACCACGCCCGGCGGGTAGTAGAGCAGGTCGGGCTCGGCGGCCTGGTGGAGAGGCGCCAGGGCCTGCAGCCCCTGGTCCTCGGGCTCCGGCTTGGTGGTGGCGGTGAAAGGGCGCATGCTGGTGAGAGAAGGCGACGCGATGCGCCACAGCAGGTTCTTGAGAGCTTTACGAAACTCCCGGCGCACGAGGCAGTAGAGGATGGGGTTGAGACAGCTGTTGGAGTGCGCCAGGCACACGCTCACGGGGAACGCGTACACCTGGCACAGGAAGTACTCTTGACTAAAGGGCACCGCGTTGAACTTGATGAGGATGCTCCAGGTAGTGAGCGCCTGGTTGGGCAGCCAACACAAGAAGAAGGACAGGACCACGATGGTCACTGATCTGGTGACCTTGGAGCGTCTCCGGGCGCTGGCTTCGGCCAGGCATCCCCCGGCTGCCGAGGCCCCTCCTTCGGTCCCGGCCACGCGGTGGTCGGAGATGAAGCGCACCAGCAGCAGATAGCACAGGCTGATGATGCCCAGCGGCAGCACAAAGCCCAGCAGCACCTTCTGCAAATGGTAGAGGCCCAGCCAGAACTGCCGGTCGCAGCCCAGCAACTTGTCCGGGAAACGTACCAGGCACAGCTCCTCGCCCATCACCTTGATCGTGGTGGAGAAGATGGCATTGGGCAGTGAGGCGAGCGCGGCCAAGGCCCAGATCAACACGCACAGTGCTCTGGCCGAGAAGCAGCGGCTGTCCGCCAGGCTCCGGCCGCAGCACTCTCCCCGGCCGTGCCCTCGGGTCCGGTGGCTCTTAAGAGCCGAGGCCACCGAGTGGTAGCGCGCCACGCTCATGGAGGTGAGGAAAAAGACGCTGGCATACATGTTCATGGACGTCACGATGGAAACGATCTTACACATGGCCTTGCCAAAGGGCCATTTGAAGTCGAGGGCGTTTTCGACTGCCCAGAAGGGCAGAGTGAGCACGAACTGAAAGTCAGTCAGCGCCAGGTTGGTGACGAAGAGGTTGATGGAGGACTTGCGCCAGCCCAGCTTACTCTTCATCAGGTAGAGCACCAGAAGGTTGCCCGTCAGCCCCAGGGCGCACACCACCCAGTACACCACGCTGATGAGGATCCTCACCCGGGCCTCGGTGTCCGCGCTCTCTGGGCCGCCGCCGCCGTCCGGGGGAAGCCCTGGCGCTGCGCCGTCCGGCAACTCTAGCCCCAGCTCCCACCACAAGTCCTGGAGCTGCGACTCGTTGCCGCTGGTGTTGGCTGCCTGCACAAGGTCTGGAATCAGACTGAAGAGTTCTGCGAGCTCGTCCCCGCCGGCCGCTTTATTCATGACGGCTATCGCGGCTGCAGCGGCCACCTGCCTGCGCAGGTGCCTCTAGGTCATGTTTCGGGGAATAAGACCTAAGGGAGTCCAGCTCTCCCAGGGTTCCGTCCCAAGTCGAGGGCGCACGTAGTGCTTGGGGGCTTTCAAAACAGCAGCTGAAGAGAGCGCCTAGGAACTGGGTGCCTGGCGCGAGGCCGGCGCGCGGAGTTTGGCCTTGGGTGCGGGAGTTGCGCTCAGCGTCTGTTCTGGAGGGGAATTCGAGAGCTGAAGAGCACAGTTCCTAAGGCAAGCGGTCGGCGTCCAAAGATTCTCCGGCCAAGGATGGAGTCTCCGGGTCCCTACTGTAAGACTCAGACTTCCCCCGCCCTGCGTTTCCCACTGTCACTTGGGCACTAGCGCATACCCAACCCAGCTGCTCAAGACCGCTATTGGGGGCCCGCTGCTTCGCTTTCAAATACCTTTGCTGGTTTCCTCTGCCGCTGCTTGGACGAGGTTTCTGAAGAGTTCTCTCTTCCTCGTTATGACTCTCTGGCGATCATTCGATGCTGTCCTCGCTGCCTCGCGTCCTCTCCTCTTCGCTGTTGTCAACTCCCAGTGAGTTGCCAGAGACGCTCGCTCGAATTATATTCCCACCCGCAAAACCGAGGCTGCGGGCTCCAAGGAGCATGCGTAACCCCCGAGGCGTGAGAGGGGACGCTTTCCGTGGTGCTGAACTTCGCCGCTCCAGCTGCGGAGGAGGGGGAATAGGCGTGCAGTAGGCAGAGCCCAGCAGCCTATTTTGCGTTTCCTCTTCAGTTTCAGAAGGAAATGGTCGTAACCCTTTGTTTTCCTATGTTGCTAGAGAAAGTCTGCTTTGATTTGCGATCGCTTTTTCTTTCGTATTCCCCAACATAACTATTAGAATTTTTTTCTTCCTCATTTCCAAAGGCATGATTTCTGCCCATTTTTCTTTCTGAAAGCAATTATAGTTCCCTCTTTTCATGCCCAGACCTTAAGTTAGACAATGCTCTCTTATTGAATATACAAAGGCCTGCTCCACGTTCCCTTCTTAATTAGCTGACCACTTAATTAGCTGATAGGATTTTCAAAAGGTCTTCACATAACTCTGGGTTTGGGTGTTGTCCTCTGCTTTGTTGTATTCTGCGAACCTAAGCTAAGCAGAGCGTATAAGTGGTGGCGCTGAGTTCACAGACATTAGATGTTTAGCTCTCAGCCCAAATCTCTTTAACATACTGTTTTTTCATGCACAACCACACTCTCTTAACTTTGAGGCAATTGAAATAGAGAATTTCATAGGGCTGTTTTTGGACCACCAGCCCCCTATTTCCACTATTATTACAATCAGAATTCTCTACCAGGTGTTTTTTTTCAGACCAATGTATGTAAATTCTAAGGAACCTTCTAAGTTACTTTGGGTAAGGGGGAACTAATATGAGCCATTTGAATTACTTTCTTAAACTGCAGTTTACTTAAATGCCAGCTAAACTGCTCTGGTGTAAAAAGTACACTTCTTAGAATGAACTTAAGAAATGTTAAAAGTGTTCCTCAATGTCTGGAATTAAACTGAAACAAAAGCATCTTAAGCGTAATTGTCCTCAGTCCTGCAGAGCTCGCATCTTTACTTACAGAGATGAAGAGGTTGTGACTTTAAAGCAGAGGAGACAGAAGAAAAAAAAAAACATAATGAAAAAGGAATGTGGTACGCAAAATGCAGGAAGGGAAACGGAAACACTTGATTCCAAAGAGAGAATACCGGTCAGAGAACATGCTTCACTATGGTCTCTGGATTGCTCCGCTTTCCCGCTAGAGGGCGCCAGGGCTTTAAATTAAAAACAAAAACCAAATCAAACCGCTATTAGAACTGCTTCTACCTACCAAAATAGTAAACCAAAGCCACACCACATACCTGAAGGAATCTTGTAGAAATTAATGTTATCATCAAGGACTTAAAAGATGCAGAGGTGGAAGTGGAGCAGCAGGCATTTCCACGTAGGACACCAGGCACCATTGTGTATTGCTCACATTTTCAGTGATCTGTTGGCTCACCTCATTGGCATTGGGCAGTAGCTGGGATCACAGCTCCTTCACTGCCCACCAGATCTCTTCCTCCAGCTTTTTTGAGTCCTGGACCAGATACACCTGCAGCTCTGGATAGCAGGGAAATTATGCAATCCAGTTCACACATTGGAAAGGCCATACTGATTGGTGAATGGTTATAAGGCATGAGGGTACAAGCTGGGAGCCTGGAAGAAGACCACTGAAAGAGTCTGGGTGGGAGATGATGGCAGCTTGTCTTAGTCCATTCAGGCTGCTATAACACAAACACAGAGACTGGGTGGCTTAAACAACAAACATTTATTTCTTACAGCTCCAGATACTGGGAAGTTCAAAATTAAGGCATAGGCAGATTCACTGTCTGGTGATGGCCTGGTTCACAGAAAGCCATCTTCTGTGCTTCTATGTTGGGTCCTCACCTGGCAGAAGGGGCAGGAGAATTTTCTGGGGCCTCTTTTATTACTAGGGCACTAATTCCATTCAAGAAAGCTTTATCTTCATGACCTAATCACCACACTGAGGCACCATCTCCTAATACCATTACATTGTGGGTTAGGATTTCAACTTATGAATTTTGGTGGGACATAAATTTTCAATCCACTACACAGCTTAACGCTGGTGACTGTGGGGATGGAGAGAGGTCCTGATTGGAATTTCATTCAGAGAGTAGAATCTCCAGGACGTGGTCATGGTAGTGGATTGAATGGATAATGGAGAGATGTGGGAGAAAGAGTAGTTCCCAATATGATCTCATCCTAGGTGGTTAACAGGAACTTACTTTGATGGATAGATTGGAAAAAGAAAGATTTTGGTAGAAAATCAAGAGATTTCTTATGGACATGTTTCCTTTCTGACATCCAAGGGGAGAGGTCAAATAGGCAGTTGGAAACATGGGTATGTGGAGCTTGCAAGTCAGGACTGGACTAGTCTTTCAAGTTATGAGAACAGATGAAATAACTTGAGGAGGAACAAGGAAAGAAAGCCTGAGACATCATGAGAAATGCAAGAAAGGTTAGTTTCTGAAGATGAGGTTTCTATGAGTTTTTATGGGGAAACTTATCAGAATGAGCATTTTAATTTTATTATCTTCTTTAAAAATAAGTTCTTGGAGAAAACTGAAACTATCTTCACGAAGCTGAACACAGATAATAGAGACAAATAGAAAATGTTAAAAAGGCAAGTTGAGCATATGTTTACTAGGTCTAAGACCCTGGAGAATGTGATAAATGTTTTCACTAAATATGGAAAAAATACTGTCAGCTGGGGCCCTTTACAGATCAAGAGAGGCCTGGGACTCCTCCAATACTTTCCTCAGGCTCCTGGTATGAATAGATGCATACAGATATAGACATAGATTATATAATGATACGTACATGTAATGAAAACATGCCAAAATCAAATTACAAAATATTGTTATAATTGAAATATTATTTTAATAATTTAATATTTTAAAATAAGAAAAGACTGAGATGATGCCAAAGCCTAAGTTTGATGCCCTTTGTGAGTGCAAGGTCCAGGTTCCTCCCCACTACTCCCTACACTCACTCATTCCCTTGGATGCCAACCATTGTGATAGCTTAGACCAGACCCAACGAGGGAAGAACTCACCTTTTCTTCCCTGATGCCCTCTTTGTTAGTGAACACGCTTCAGACCTTAGGATGTAGAAGAGGAGGCTTCACCTGCTCTTGGGCCGAGGCAATTTAAGGGCTGGACTTTGGACTGGGCTCATGTCTGGGTGGGCTAGACCTCCTTATGGAAAAAGTTGGGCTGAAATATTCAGATTATGAGACTTGAGAGTAGCCATGTAGCAGTATAAGCAGCCTCTGTGAAATTCCTTCTCAGTGTTTAAAGAGGTTCTGTTAAAAACCATCGCCTCAATTTAACTGGGAATGAAAGGAGAGATTTGAATCCATGCCTAGAGTGGATTGGTGCTGGAAGAGATAAATAGCCTGGAAAAGGGTTACAGGACTGTGCATTGTGATCTGAGTTTCCAATGTTGCAGGTGGTTCATTCAAATCTTACATGGTTGGCAGAAGGGGCCAAACCACCAGCCAGGCAGATTTGTGAAATATTCAAGCATCCTTCCTGGGTTTTTATGGTTTCTTTGCAAGTGGAAGCCAAGGTAGGGATGGATTTTTCACAACCTTGGGGATAGGGCTTAGAAAATAATCACTGGAGATAGGAATAAAAAATATAAGCTCATTTTTTGGTTTTAAGATGTAATGATGAAGAAACATGTCTGGTAAAAATGTAGGAACATTCCTTATGTCTAAGAAAGGGACTCTGCTGGGTTTTTTTAAACAAACATAAAGACTGTTCTGATGTTTATATACTTATAATTTGATAAGAGACATAATACAGTGATGTGAAAAGTTGAGTAAATACACAAGGTCATAATCTGGATAACGTAATCTATAATTAATGGGTAAGTAAAGGCTAGGATGTGAGTTTGGGGGAGCCTGTGGTCATGTGGGTAGTTTGTTCTGGGAAGATTGCTGCTGGGTGGAAGAACTTGAGCTGGATCTGGATAAGAAGACAGGAAATTACTGCCTGAGTCAGGTTAGAGAGATGTATAATCAGCACTTCTAGATTCTGGGAATGTACAAGGCAAAGTGTGTTTTCAGATAAGAGAGAGAAGAAAAGGGTCCATTCTCTCGAGACCTTCACATTGCATTAGTTCTTCTACATGGTTTCTGATTTTCTTTCAGATTTTTTAACTTTAGTAAATGATATTACTATTTACTTAACTATTCATGCTTAAAACCCAAGAGTAATTTTTATTTCTCATTTCCCCTTACATCTAATGTAACCCAACCTTGTAAGTCCTGTCAGCCTGTTCTCAAGAACAGAAACAAAAACCTCAAAACCAAAAAATAATCCTGAATTGGTCTACTTCTTTCCATTTCTCAATTTCTCTCTGTATTAGTTATCTTTTTCTGAATAACAATTTATGCTGACACTTTATGGCTTAAAACAACAAACACCATTCACAGCTTGTAGACACTGTCATTGGTTTAAGGTCTCTCATGAAGTTGCAGTCAAGCTACCAGGTAGGGCTGTGGTTTTATCTGAAGGCGTTAATGGTAGGGAGAGGGATCTGCCTTTAAGCTCACTCACATGGTTGCTGGCAGACCTCGATCTTTCATCATGTGGGATTCTCCACAAGGCTGCTTCCCATGATGGTAGCTGGTTTCCACCAGGGTGAGTGATGAGAGGGGGAGAGAGGGAGAGAACCCAGCATGAAAGCTGCAGTCTTTTTATAACCTAAAGTCAGACGTGACACTCCTACCACTTCTGTCATATTCCGTTCTTTAGAGGCAAGTGAGTAGGTCAAGGCTGCATTCAAGAAGAGGGGAATTGTACAAGAATACTTTTACCAGGAAGCAAGGATCATTGGGACCTTCTCAAGGCTGACTCTTACAGCAGGACAGGTGATCATGATACCCAGCAGAAAAGAGGAACTGAAGGGCTACTCAGCTGAGCAGATATTTCAACAGCTACACAGAGCTGGGGCAACAGAGACTGAAGCACAAGCCTAGTAA